TTTTTTTTTTGGCGATCATGGGTCTGTTGAGCAGTCTTAAATTCTAGAGTTGTCCTTCAGTTTCGGGGGGAAATTAGTTTCTAGAACTTCTCTCAGACAGCCAAGTATGCTTACGAGATTCGAGGGCCAGGAGTAAGAGGCTCGCCAAACAGGTTGTCGACCACTATAGGTGTCGAAGAATTCCGAAGTCAGTGATCTACAGTTTATCCGCCATCTGCCTAAAAAAACTCAAAGATTGTATTTTGAATGCAAATGGATTCGTGCTTACGTCGTCCCTTTGCGTGGTGAAGGGTTCTTCTGTCGAGAAACGTTATTGCCATCTGTGTGGGGCCTTCGGGATCAGGGTATCCGCCGTATTGATTTTAACAATATCTGTTAAAACAAGGGGACAAAATTGGCACTGCTGTCAGCTTTGATATTCTGACGACGGAAAGTCTCGTGCTTTTCCCTTTTTTTTTTTTTTTTTTTTTTTTTTTTTTTTTTTTTTTTTTTTTTTTTTTTTTGAAGGCGGTAAGACGCTTTCAAATTTTACCTGCTGCAGGCGGGAGAAACGAATGCTTCGCGGGGGATTATCGATAGTTTAATGGCCTTGCCGCATGGCACAACTAACGAAACGATCACCAGAGTCGCGAGGCCTCACGAGGCCGTGATCCACCCTTTCGATATTTTTTTTTATATCCATGTGATTAACCAAAGTATACTGATATTGACCGTATAATAAGACTAGATTCTTTTGAGATTCTAAATAGGATACATTTTGAAGCAGTTTGCCCCACCGCCCCTCAGCACGCACAAAAACTCTAGTAACAACGCCCTGGCGACAGTAGTGGGGGATTCGTTTTGCTACAGTCCATATTTGTGGATGCTACGGTCCAAGTTCTTTGGATGGACTTCTGTTGGAGCGATGCAGCATGCTCGTGAGATTTCGCAACTCCTCCACCCTACCAACGAAGGACCTATAAGTTCGCGAGGGCTGCAGGCAGGGAGGAGTCAGCACACTTGTGGGATCTCGCGAACGTGGAGGCTGACAACATTCAAGAGTTCTTTCTGACACAGTTCGTGTGGGTGCTATGCGGCGATGACTCACGAAACGAAGTCATCGTTTTTTTTTTTTTTTTTTTACCGTGTGGCGAGGCCCTAATTTGACACCTGTTGTTGGTATGGACGTGAGACAGTCAAGATACCGTTTTGATAGTGCGGCGAGGTACCACCGTCAAATCTACTCCCCTTCCCCCACCCCCTTTTTTTTTTTTTTTTTTTTTTTGTCGAACTGGATTCGACAGTTACCGATTTGGCGATCTTACCTACTTTCACTGCTCAGCACCGTCGAGCAGTGTGGTGTCGAGTTTCTGTCTGTACTTCGTCAGAGCTGGGAGGCATCGGCAGGCACCGACGAGTGATTGTCTGGCGGGACAGTAGTTGTTCGCATGGTGGGATAAGCACCGTCCCTGGGTCCATTCACCTCTTGGCTCATGCGCAGATGGACTGCAAACAACACGTCTTTGAGGAGATGGCGCGTTTTAGCGGCCAATGACGAAGCACTTGCAAACGACAAACGCAACAACGACAAAATCCAAGTGGCGTCGAATTCCTATGGATTTTCGACGACTACAGGAAATCCTGTCGGATGCTCGCCTACCTCGAGTGTGAATCATATGACCGTTGAAACCAAGTTCCGACACTACCAGGTGTCGAGCAATTCTGACAACCGTCGTTTTGACAGCCTGTGTGGCGATATTTCCTTCTCTCCCTTTTTTTTTTTTTTTTTTTTTTTTTTTTTTTGGACAATTTGCTTCAATCTATTTAAAATGTCGAAAAATTCAGTTTTTGACGGTGGTGAAGCGAGGCCTTATGAACAGCAATGGCAGCTCTTGAGTCCGATCAGGAAGTCTGACAGTACTAGAAGCATCTTGATATGTCTAGTGTCGTGCCGCGAGGCCTTATGTTGTCTTCTGGGACTGCTTCTTCGTTACTACCGCGGCTTCGGGTTATGCAGCTTTCAGTATTTATTTACGATTCCATGAACTTCCATCTGATGAGGCTCCTTTTTTTATTTTTTATTTTTTTTATTTTTTTATTTTTAGAAGGTGGTAGTCGGCAAAAAACGATCCTGCCCCTGAATTCATGCTTCGTCGTTCATCTTTTCTTGACTTTCTCCCTCCCCCTTTCCCTTCCCCCCCCCCCCCTTTTTTTTTATTATTTATTTTTGAATTGAGAATTCTGAGCATAAGAGTTACAGTCACGCATACATTGTCCGTTGGAGTGACGAAATATAGGGCGGCGCCGTACGGCCTGCGAAACGACTGCATCTACCCATGAAAGTTGAAAAATACATCTTTACTATATATAGCAAAAACTGACGAACCTGACCATTTTTTGTGGGAAGATGCACTCGCTTCGTTTTTCATTTCGTGCGTTGTGCGGCGCTGCCCCATATTTGAAATAGAAACAAATATTTACGGAGAGCAGATTAGAGTCCAGCTGGTCATCAATTATTTTGACAGGACGACGATCCACAGGTTTAGAGGTAAAACAAAAGCGGCTTCTTTTGGCGAAAGTCTTAATGGATGATGTACGGGTTTGGGGAATATCACAAAGGCAGAGACATCAAGCGTAGGGTCCTTTCCACCATTTTCTTTCCTTTATTATTATTATTATTATTATTTTTTGCGGGAAGATGAACCAAGGTAAATAAGGTAACAACCAAGCATAACTCATCATCCCCAGAGCCATGAATTTCACTAGGCGTAAGGATTACTCAGTGATGAGCGCAGTCTTTTCATTCATTGCGATTGCACCTAGCGATCTGAAATCGGTAAGTTATCAAAGCACAGTTTCGTCCGGGATTTGTATTGAGGTTGCGAAAGTAGGGTTAGGAGAAGATGAGGCGTCCTAATCTATCTGCGACAAATTCCCCTTCACTCTTCCCCTGAAGGCTGTCCAAATTCCGAATGCAGATTGTATTGCAAAGTCCCCTCCCTTTTTTTTTTTTTTTTTTTTTTTTTTTTTTTTTTTTTTTTTTTTTCCGGGCAAATACAGAGCAATTTCTTGGTCGAAATTCGAAAGATCAGAAAGGAGAGGACCAATACCAGGCTTACGGCGCCATAGTCAATCCGAATTAGTTCTGGTGAATGATGAAGATTAGATCTAAGTTAAATCCGGGCGTGACCCTCAGTTTTGAGATCCGATGGCGGCAGTCCCCTGAAAGATCGTGAAGTCCTAGGAAGCACGTTAGGCAATCAGCAGTTCCGACTTCTCCCATTCCTCTTTCCTCTCTCTCTCCTTCTTTCGTCCCCCTCCTTTTTTTTTTTTTTTTTTTTTTTTTTGGCGCGTCCAAATGGGAATCCCGGTTCGAATTACGAAGACGAAATGGTAAGGCAACACTCGGGTATGTGTGCAAAAGAGAATTGTATCCTTGGAGTGTGATTCCTTCTAAGGATTATAGAAGCCCCGATTACCCAACCCCAAAGTCCTTCTTTTAATTTGAATCAGTTGAGGTTTGAGGAACTGATTATAATAAGAATTATGAGAATCAAGGAGAGGAGAAAGAAGAGAAAAAAAAGACGAAGGCTGATTACTTTCTCCTCCTTTTGAAGGCAATTAGTCTAAGAGAGACACCTAAAGCTTCCTTGAGCATTGATTGAAGGCGATACTCCGATTTCAACCCTGGCGCTATCTCTTGCTCGATTGACTTGTCTGGAGTGTTGCCGCTTCTTCAAGTAGTTGCGTCCAGCCGGGTTACTTGGTTTCTGATTCCATTCTTGATTGATTCTAACTGCCCTTCTTCATGATTAACCACATTCTGTCTTCGGTTTCTCCAGATCTCCTTCAAGTGCCTTCCAATGCCGCAAGGGTGAGTTGCGAGAGTCCGAACTTGATCCGCCGAACCAATCGCCCGACTTCTTCCGATTGATCGAGACCGCTGCAACCTTCGCCAGTGAGCGCCCATCGGCGATTTACGCCTGCTAAATCCGCCATGAGATAGGTAATCCAAGCTCTGGATCCGAAGTCCATCCACCATGAAAGTTCCAACTTGGCAAATTCCTCCCGAACGAGTCGGGACACTCTGTCGAGAAGGAAACTCCGGACATCAATCATCCTCCTATCCTCCGGATTTGCGCTAATTAGCAGATACGTGAGTTCGCCAAGGATATGATAATTGATGCGGCATCGGCCGCAATCGCTCAAAAGGAAACCTAGTACGAAGAACAGTGCCTTTGCAAGCGGCTTTCTAAGTTCCCAGGCAGAGTCTTGCCAGTAAGCTAGGTCGTTGAGCTCAGATTGAGAGAGATCGATCAGGTATCTACCATGCATAGGCGAAAAAGTGGTCATGGCGAAGACCTCCACCAATTCTGGCTGCGCGAGAGCTTCTCTCCATTGTTCAACATCCACAATACAAAAGAATTCATCGAGTATTGCAGAGCGGAAAGTGCAGAAGGCTTTGCTTGAGAGGAAAAGCGTAAGTGCATCAGCACTGCGACGAGAGTCTCCGCCGCTAGCGGCACTTTTGGCAGGCCGAATTGCGTCTACGTTGATCCCATGGAGCAAGCTGGCCTCGCCGGCTCGGACGAGGCTTCCCATTGTCCTGTCCAAGACGAATTGGTTCTTCGGTTCCGCCATCAATACTAACGGAGAGAGGGTTTCTCGGTCTACCGGCCGGAAGCTACGCACTAAGTGAAGAAAGTAACTCCTAACTCTATCTGACTGAGCGGCTCGCAAGGAGTGGGTATTGGTGACGCTGTCGCGTAATTCGTCCATAACTACGGCTCCTACTGCTTTCCTTCGTTGCCCAAATGTCGGGAATTAGAGTGTATAAATACTCTTTTGGTGAGGCAAATAAGCAGGAGTAGGCTTGTTACTCGGTTAACCGGGTTGTTCGAGAAATAAAGGGGACAGATCTGATATAATGCCCTATAACCGCGTTTTGTAAGACTGGGATTGCATACATTTTGTTATAGGGTCTTGGAGTTCGTTCGTCATTGAGGTCCAGTAGATTTTGGAGAAACAAATGCTCCCCCCCCCTCCCCTTTTCCCTT